CCCGCCCAACCCCACAGAGCTCCTGGCATTTGTCGTCTTCCCTCTTCCCTTCTAGCTACACCAATCCTTCGCATCATCATATATTTATCTACCTTGCAGCTTCCTCATCAGTCCAACCCAGCCTACCTTTATGATCAGATAAATATACAAAAAACAAGAAACAATGTGGCTAGAAGAAAAAGAAAAAAAAAAAAAAAGGACATGAGGTACAAGAGGGGGAAGAGCAGAAAAAAACAAATCTTAGAAGGCCAATCTCTCCAGCAACCCCTGTCAGTATATAACTTCGCTGAACTAGAGACCCCAGCTTTTGGGCATGGTAACGCAAGTGATTAAACCACAATGGTAACTCTTCGCTTTTACATCCATCTGGTTGCAGAAATCAATTCTATTTGGCTTTCCTCGTTTACGTGCCTGCAGGATGCAAGAAATTCGTACCAAATTGCCTCCTAACGTGTTCGGGTACAAGTTTGTTAATGAGCTCTGGTGAGGCTCCAGATAACTGCGATCACAGGAGAGAAGACAAATTAGTCAGAATACATCCAACGAACATGCACTAGAAAGAGGAAAGAAATGCACTAATAAAATACAACACCCAAGCTGGTCATCCATTATATATGTTAGGTACTACCTAGTTCACAGAAGCTTGTAAAAGGCAAATACAATCCAAATTTCCTTTAGAAAATAGTAGGCATATATGGAATTAACCGTGAAATATACAACCTGCTACAGGCAACCTGAAGTAGTGCAGTCTTAACCACTGTTTTCAAAACCGGACCGGACCGGGCGGTCGAACCGGAAAAACTGGGAACTGATTCCGTTTTCCTCCAAAACCGCTTTTTCCCTCAAAATCATTGATTTTGGTCAGCAAACCGCTGAACCGGCCAGTTAACCGTTCGAACAGTTTTGACCGTTTTGCAATTTTTAAAATTTTTTTGTCAGAATGGGCCAGCCATTCGGGTCAAACAGTCAGACCGTTCAAACTGGTAACCAGACCCCTGACTGGTTCGGTCACCGGTTCGTTTTTAAAAACCATGGTCTTAACCATCACATTAACATGACACCCTAGGGAGACCTGGAGGCTGCAGCTGGACTACTGATCAATCAATACATGTCATATTGTTTATACAATCTTATCAGTAATCTTTAGAAAATTCTACTTAACACTGTCCTTTCTCTTCTCTGGTACCATGAAACAAATAAATGAGTGAACTTAAACTGTTAATAGAAAAGGAATTGATTCGACTAAAACTGATAATCTATTAAATTTTACTTTCACAATAAGAGTTGCCAAATTAAATCAGTTTTATGGAAATCAATAACTTAACTATTAACTTCATATCCATATTTGATACCAACACATTAGTGGCCAGATCCACATTATCAAAAAAACATGCTAATGGCAACACAAGAAATTACAGTATTGCTTTCTCATTGCCAGCTCAATTTAATTGTTCATAATGTACATATTTCATGTCTCCATAAATTTTAATGACCCAAGAAAAATAAATTCTTTTTTAAGTAAAATAATTTCTGGTGCATGAAAAAAAAAAGAAACATCTTTGGATGTCACAGTTAGGCATTTTACCTAGGCATTCTCTAAGGTCCAGCCACTCAGCATGGTGTCAATACAAACAACTCAACTAAATATCTGCTCATCTAAATTAGTTATGTCAAATTCCAAGTACCATACACTTCAGTAATTTAGTTGTTTAAGCTCCAAAACTTTATTGAGGAGCCCAGTTGGCAAGGGCGTTTTGGCCAGAACTTCCCTCCCACAAATCATTGGTTAGGAAAAGATTCCTGGGCTGCCTAGACAATATGTTGGATGATCAATCCCAGAAACACGGACTCAGAAGCATACCTCCTGTTTGAAGTTGAAGAGGGGAGGAAAAGGACGGCCATTTGGAAGGCGGGCATTGGGTTCCCGAAGTTCATCAAAGAAAGAATGTGCACATGCTTCTAGCTGCAGTGACAAAATGATAAGTTCAGCATTTTTTTTTGATAAATAAAATTTCATTAAGAATTCATTATCAACAAAATAAAGACTGTTACAAGCATCTCAACGGGAGGTGCGAGGTGCAGCCTCACCCTTTAAAAGAAAAGAAACAGCACAAAATGTTAAGTTCAACATTTTCCATATAACAAAGATAAAATCACATTCTTGCTATATTTTTTTATATAAACAAACTTCAACACAAAATAAGCAGCATAAGAAAATGAGTAGATAGATCAACAAATGATAAAAGTTGCAAAAAGCCTATGTAAACAAGGACACTAAACAAATTTAGTCTATTTGCATTTTCTAATTGATATGTTCTTATTCTTCCCTATCAAGGTTCAGGAATGATAATAATTATCTTTTAAAACCAACGTAACCTACACTTATTTTTATTATGCTGTTGCACTTTAAAAGGACAAAAAGAAAATCTTTTAAGATAGAGATGACAGGTATTAGGTTAGCATACAAGTAATGTCCACAAGTTACTAAGAATTAGAAAATACATATATATGATATTGCACATAATATAAATATATAATATCCATTATATGATCATATACATACAAACAATAAGATTTTTTTATAAGTACAAGCAATAAGAACATGTCTGCACATATACGCTTACCGCAGTACAACGAAGGCTTGGCGAATATTGAAGAAGCCTTGAAGCAAGATCTATTGCTTCTGGAGGCATTCGCTTGTGGAAAACCTAAACCAAGAAAATTTAATTGTAAGACCAACTGATTTGAATAGGCAACAAAGAAAAAATAAAACTTGCAACCAATATAATAGTAGCATGGTTTTGTAATTAATCAACCAAAAATGTTATTCATAAAGAATAACCATTTAATTTTATGCATGACCTAGGACAGGTATTCTTGGATAACTGAAATACCAGATTGCAGAGAATAACCAAACTGGTGTCTGGTAGTCAAACAGAAACAGGATTTTCATAGCCATAGGAGTGTGTTAATTGGTGAAGCTGAGAAGCATTGTCAGTGTACCAACCACCATAGGTCCATACTTCAATAAATTGTTATGTTCTTTACTACAGAAAATTGGGCCTCCAGATTATAGAAAATTAAACGTCAAAGGTCAGTCCAGTGAACAAGGCTCCTACCAATGCAGGGTCTGCAGAGGGACAGATTACGCAGCCTTACCCCTGCATATACACAGAGAGGCTGTTTCCAAGAGTGAACCCCTGGTCAGCCAGCTTGCAATGGAGCAACCCAACTGTTGTGCCAAGGCCCTCAGAAAATTAAACTTCAGAACAGAGAAAATTCAACATTTATGGCACATTAGTATGTATCTTTAATATATAAAGTAGATACTTGGCCTTACATCAAGAGCACCCTGTGAAAAATCTAATCCATTTATTTTATCTTCCCCCCCCCCCCCACTCAATCAGTCCCATAAAATGTCCTAGAATTTGGACATGTAACATATACAAAAGAACAAATGAAATATTTGTTGAAACATATCCACATGACCACACACTACTTATATAACAATTATGATTACAAAAGGAATGTAGATATTAAACTTAGTTTTATCATTTTCACAAAAAAAAAAAAAAAAACCAACTTCACAAACCTTATGATTTCAAAAAAAATTTCCATGGTTTCCAATTTGTAGAAAAGCTCAAAACTCCACAATGTACAACCACTTAAGGCTTCCAAAAAATATGCACAACCACTTCCAGATAAGCAAAATAATATAATTATGTGCACGCGTACTACAGGCCAAGGCAGGGGGAAATATGTCAAACTTTCAACCTAAAAAAAAACATCCTGGTTTAATAAAGTTTTTTTCTGGAAAAATATACATCACTGAATACCAATGACAGCTTCTTCAGAATTTCTTTTATTTAGTCAAAAATCAATGACATTTTAGTTACTACAATCTGAGTGAACAGAATTCCAAGAAACATAGGTATCAAAACAAAATACATATATTCAAACCTTATGCCATGGATGAGCTTTTATCTGAGGAAACCTAAACTCGGTGTAGTTTGGATTCATGCAACGGATTTCTTCTCGAGTTGGAGTACCAAGGACCTGCAAAAAATCATTCATATGTGATCACATCACCAGTAAAACTCCACAACTCCCATTAACATCTTGGAAAATTCAGGCCTTGGGTCTCAACCACCCATACAGATCCACCTCACAATGCAAAATTTAGATGCATGGACAGTGTATGTAAGATACTAGGATTCAAACCACATCTAAGGGAATAAGCTTGATATATATGATCGAGCAAGTGTTCCACTCTTCATCTAGACAACATCAGAAAATGTGACCATATGATCTTAACCAATATGAATCACGAGGCCATTGTATAGCCACGATACATTAAACCCCAGATTCAAGGCATACCACTGATTTCTAAGGGAAAACGAAGCTTACCCTAATGATCTCCACAAGTTGGTCCACTGCACCATCTCCAGGAAACAATGGCTACAACAATTTAGAAATCCAGAGAATCAGCGCAAGATTAAAGGAACCATGCTAAAACTTCCATTTGAACACTATCTGAAAATGCAGGATTTATCATCTAAGGTGTGTAGAAAAATGCCTACCTGTCCCAGAAGGAGCTCAGCAAGAACGCAACCAGCTGACCAGATGTCAATGGATGTTGTGTATTCAGTCGCACCAAATATGAGCTCAGGAGCCCTGTAGTAGCGAGAGCATATGTATGATATGTTTGCTTCACCCTTGACCTGACAAGTTAACTCTTTATTAATGCTAAAACACAGCAGAGAATAATTTGACCAATATCATCTAAGAAGCAAAATTTGTGGGCAGAAAGGGTCATCATCAATGAAATTAATTTCATTAAAAGATGAAAAAACAGAATTTGATAACCATTATATGTGTTCTGAATGGAAAGAGTTCACTTCACACCCCAACCACAATAGGAGTAACCTACTTAAGGAAAATTATTAAGATCTACCAATGTATCAGTGCACATTTCTCATGGAATACAGTTTACTAGGAACCTATCAGGTGGACAAAGATCAAAGAAACTTAACTTTATCAATCCTTCTCATGGAATTTAAATGAATGAACAAAATAGCGAAAATTGATTTGAGGATACAATGAGAGAGGAGATCAGCAAATGGGATGGCAGATGCTTTGGCTAAGCAAGGGTGAATAGATCGTTTTTATTCTGGGCAATTTCTTTTTTTTGATTGAGAGGTAGCATCTTGTGTCTCTCTAAGGGATGCTTGTAAAGATGTTACCTCAAGTGTTTTTTAATAAAATTTAAGTTATTTATCAAAAAATAGCAAAAATTGATTAAAAGGGGACTGTACATACCAGAACCTTTGCGCTTCCAAAATCACAAAGTTTGACCTGATGTGTAAGAGGATCAACCTGTAGAATGAGTTTTTATTGGATTAGAATGCATGTATTGCAAAGCAAAGGGTGGATGAAAATATCCAGGAACAAAACAATGCAAGTATTCATGATAAGTAAGGATAAACAGCTATAGCAACCCAACTTACAAGACATTCGAAAAAGAACATACCAAAAGATTTTGTGGCTTTACATCCCTATGGCAAACTCCATGAACAGTGTGAATATATGCCAGCCCCCTAAAAATCTGATAAGAACCCCATAAACCCATTTAATAGAAAGAAAGGTAAGGGCAAGGGATAAAGAAGACTTACATGACAAAATCATATCACTTACTTGGTACATATAGAGTTTCACATAGATCAATGGCATCCTCTGGCCCACATTGCTATAGTGCTTCAGAACCCGATAAACAGTCTCAGGGACATATTCCATGACCAAGTTGAGAAAAAGCTCATTCTTACTCGTGGTAGAAAAGAAACAGTGTTTCAGACAAATCACATTTGGATGCTCCATCGAGCGCATTAACTGCAGCTCACGGTTTTTATACCGCCTGTCCTGCAGGACCTTCTTTATGGCGACTGTTTCTCCAGTCTCCAAGCATTTTGCCTGCAAAAATAACAGAGTAGAAAACAAGTGTAAGATCAGAGATAAAAAAATACAGGAAGCTAAATCTCCTGCAAACCTAAAATCAGTACCTGAAACACAATTCCAAATGACCCAGTCCCCACAACACGTTCTGCCATATAACTGATGGTCTGCAAGGAAAGACAATAAACACCTCAGCTTTCAAAACGTGGGGGAAAAGGATGGGAAAGGAACCAATGAGGACTGAAATACACAGCACCTATTTAAGTTGTAAAAAGAGTTTAGCAACTGAGTGCATCCAAGAATTATTTAAGGTTGTATACCTCAGGAAGATTGATTATATCATATTGCTATCTAGAATCTTTCTCCATAGACTAATTCTTGAGAACATTTAGATCTTAAACAAGGACTAGTTGACAACTTGATATGAAACATAAAGAACAGAACAGCAAGTTAACAGAGCGAAAAAGAATGTCTGAAACATTAAGCACTAACCCGTTTGGCTTCACCATTTTTGCCTCCAATGGTGGTAGAAATGATGTGACCAGTGACTGGATCATTCCCCTCTACAACAGGAGCTGACATTTCCTGAGATACATACGAACCGAAAAGATCCAAATAAGAGACCCTCGTGCAAATATGATGTGCAGTGTAAAGAATATAAAGAAAGTAAGAAACAAGTGTAAAATCCACCAAAGGTAGAATGATTTTGTCATACTAAGTTAACAATTTCAATCATAAAAAGTAATGACTAGCCATCAAGCTCATGGTGATGTTAACACTAACAAACCAGGGTACACAGATAAATATTAGGTAAGATGAACTTAAAAACAAATATCTTAGATGATCCGTCAAAGAGAAGAAAAGTGGAAAGGTAGTCGCTTGCAAGTAAGAATCGAATGCCTAAAGCTTGAAAATCAAACAGGAAATGGTCGAAGCACCAATGAGGAGAGAATCAAACCACCAACCTCATGAAACAAAACCAGTGCACATTGAAGAATAAACCAATAAAAGAAAAGGGAAAAAGGAATATCGCGAAAAACAATGACTCTGAATATCGAAAGAAAAGTATCAGGGAACCTAAAGGCTTAATCCAAACCAAAACCCAGGAAAGAATGGAAGATCTAGAAAAGTACCCAAGTAATATCAAAGCGAATATAACTAGATTCTCCAATCAAGCGTAACATCCATTAGCAAAAATTCGAAGAAAATGTTTGGCACAGTAGATCGGGCGAAGGCCCGGAATCTAAAATCTAATAAACCCTAGAAAAAGAAAGCAATCCAAAACTCAACACCACGGAAAATGACACCAAAGATAAGCATCAGCCTGATAGCCAAATTTCCGTCAAACTTAAAGAAGACATAAATAAATAAACGAAAAAAACGAATGGAAGTTTCAGCAGGTTCTCCTCAGCTTCGCTCCGATCATCACGAAATACGATGGGGCCAAAACAAAAGAAGGAGCGCAAATTATTAAAAGCAAATACATCTTAGATCAAAAGCCATAATCAAGAAAAAAATTGCCAGCAATCAATGGAAAATAAATCCCTTTATAAAATATCACGGAAACTTTTTCTCTGAATATTATTTCCGGTAACATCAATCCTATTTCAGAACAAGAAGATGAACAAAAGTTATAAGGTCATATCACAAATCTGAGGAAACCAAAATAGCTAGATCACCAGAGGGGAAAAAATCATCGTACAAATGCAGAACTTTTCGGTTTTCAATCACCACAAAAAAATGTAAAAAAAAACTAAAAAAAATAGCCAAATCAGAAAAAACGCGAAAACAAAAAGTGAAATTGCAGAAATATACAAATCATGCTGGACGACATGAAATATGCGGGAATACCTTATCGTCTCCCATCTCCGACCGACGAGGCGCAATTTTCACTGCCTCATTCTCTGGCGGTGGATGAGGCCCCAGCGGCAACGAGGCCATGTGGAATACAGCTCTACTTCTCTCTCCTTTCTTTCTCCTAGCCTTTGATTCTCTCTCCCTCTCCCTCTCCCTCTCCCTCTCCCTCTCCCTCTCTCTCTCTCTCTCTCTCCCCGCGAAATATTGCGATAAAATAAACAAAAATTGATAGATAATATTTCATTTCTACTGAATATCCTGATCGTTTGACAAAATTACTATGTTGACCTTGAGCATGGCGACGGCAGCTCCCATCGGCGAACTTTACTGTTCAACTTGACCAAAATACCCTTCCCGGAAGTAATCTTCCGACAAAGGCTGCTTGACTCACATGGTGACGGATTTCCCATTGGATGCCGACTAATACGCGGGTTCCGGCCGTTGGATTGGTGTCCAAATCGTTCTTGGCAACAAGGGGGGCATTATTGACGAGGCGATTCTAATCTGACGCACATGAACGGTCCTATCATGCGTGGGTTCCACGTCAACTTGAAGACCATTGTCGTTTTCTTACGATTATAATGGTACTACCGTGATTTACTTTTAACGATAGGGGTATTTTCGAAAGATGCGCCAGGTACGGATATATTTTGATTTGATGAGAGCGCTCGGGTTTTCGCGGAGTTTTTACCCGCTTACGACAAGCGGGAAAGCTGGTACCAAAGTTGCATGGAAAGACGGAACTACCCTTATTTAATGGCCTAACCGGATAAAAATGAGACTGATGATTCTCTCTGTCCCGTTGGAGTCTGAAGTCTGATATCTGATTTTCTGAACCCTGTAAATTGGCCCCAGCCCCAGCCCCAGCCCCCAGGGCACAGAAGTGCAGAGGTATAAGTTGGAGCTCCAATGGATTTGGGTCTGATTCGGGACTGGATGGACCGGTTTTGAACCAACAATTACTTGTTAATTAAACCAACAATTACTTGTTAATTAAACCAACAATTAATCGAGGTAATGGGGGCTGACCCGATGAGACGGATCGTACCTGACATCTATAATTAGGGCCCGTTTGGTTTGCATAAACAGGGGTCTATAATCAGGATCTGAGTCTCATTTCGATTCCAACTAACTATTTAGTTGGACAGAATGGGAATCCTATTGCCATTATTCCTGGTGGAATGTCATTCTCCCATTCTCTCCCCCTTCTTTGGGAATGAAATTTCATTCTAGGTGATTCCAATTCATGTTTAAACCAAATAAACTATGAAAATAGACTGCTCCGGTTAGATTCTGAGAGATTTTGATTCCAATTTCGAATCTAATTCCAACTGAAATCTAAATGGACCCTTTATTTTTGATAAAACAATTTATAACGTTACTTTTTTATAATATAACCTTAGACTCAGTTTGGAAAGAGTACAAATACAAACATGTAGAATGCAAAACCTTACATTTTATATTATTTTGTATATATTTGTAATATACATATTTGTATTTATACTCCTTCCAAACTGAACCTTAATTAAAACACAACAAACGGTTTGACAATGCAGGTATTTTAATAAAAAAAATCATCGTATATATTGTTTACAAATTTATCCTTTTAAACATAAAAATACATCAAAAATGCAAAAATAAAATAAAATCTTTATTTACATGATTGATTTGGATCAATAACAAGGGTTTCTAACGAAATTATAATGAGCTTGGATCTGCTGACCACAATATTGCATTTGCACATTAAAAATGTCTCTTCAACTTTATATCACCGATATTCCCATTGTGTGGCTCGGTGATGAACATGGGGTCAATAATGTGTTGTGATAATAAGATCCAAATTCTAAACTCAATTATAATTGGGATATAAAACTCATAGCAAAAAACTGGCATAGCTATAGTTGTTGCAGGGTGATTCATGCACAAACTCTTGGCATAATAATTTAGCTGTCTTTATTCTATTTCAAAACATATGGGTGTCACACATGACAAAAGACCTTTAAATCAAGAAATATGAAAATTTTGTTTTCACCAAAAGTGAATTTTATAAAAAGAGGTAAAATAGTTGCAAAACTTGCAATCACTTTTTTACTTGAATCATTCAACCAAATAGAAAATTATTTAAAATGCCTGCTGACATGGCAATATTTCATAAAAAGCAACCATGATACCAAATACCGTCATAATTGATTTGGTAGGTTCGTTTTACTTAATAGGCCCGAGTGCCCGACTCAATAACAGTTCTATAGAGATGGCAATTTGACATGTCCCCGTTGGGCCCTGCCCTAGTCCCAGGTTGGGATGGATTTTTTTTTTAATTAAAAAATAAATTTGTATGTATATAAATAGGAATGACCAAGGCGAGGCAGGGTAAATTTAAAGATTTATATTATCCACAAGAATGAGAATGGGATTAGGATTTTTAGCCTCATCAGAGTTCGGGGTGAACACAGAATAAGGCATTTGAATTCGGGGTCGAGTATGGGGTAGAAAAAACCTGACCCGTTCAACCCCATTGCCATTTCTATAATTTTAGCGTGAATGCAACTTGGGTTGGGTTGGGTCAGGTCGAAGATCGAGACTTGGCACAAGCCCCTCTCCCCCAACATTGTTTTGTTTGGATAAGGGTTTTATACTCCTTTTGATAGAGCAAGAAAAAAGTAGGAAATAACAGAGTAGCTTCATTTCATATTCAAATGCAACTTCTTTTTGCTCAATCATGAAAAGAAGGAAGGTGTAAGGGGTGAAATTAATTCAATAATGCATCATCAAACGTAAAATCTACTTATCTGTTTTAGAGAAATGGGCCAGTAGGCCACACCTTATAAAAAAAAAAGAATCCAAACAGTAATCCTGGTTTATAGTTTAATGATAAAAATAATGAACAAGAGGTGTACTTTTTTGACTAATGATTTAAGAGTGGCCAATCCACCATTGCCCACATGGTTGCGGCATCTACTCTGAACGCAACAAGTGTCGAGATCAACACAAGATAAGGAAAGGGTTTCCTGTGCAGGGACCCCAAGATGTTGTGCTCATAGTAGGCAACTTCTCCTTTTAAGGCGCAATGGCAATGCCTTGCCGCTCAGGTTGGCTTGGTTTTGTTTGGTATATTTGGCTCATCCACTCTGTTCCGGGTTTTGCTTGTAATGCCCATCTAATATAGAAATTGAAGTACACCAATCACTCCTCCCCCATAAGTGTGATATTATTTGGTGCATTGAATTGTTTATAAGAAAAGATGTAAGTGGTTTATCAATATGGAAAAGTAGGATATGTATTCTTTTTTCTGAATCTTCAACCTTCCAATATAAATATAAAAAAAAAGTATTCTATTTATCCAAACGGCCCCTTTTACTTATTTTGTATTTTTTTAGGATTGGAGGTTAGAAGATGATAGAAAGACTTTGCTAGTACCATAGATTTACCTTTTTTGTTAGGATTGCACTCTCACAATTCTCTCTTTTTTTTTTTGTAGTAATCCATACTCCATCCCCTTTAGGGGTGGATTCTGATGGAGGATGATTTGGCCCGACTTACGAAACGATGACATGTGGATCTGACTCAACACGAGGAACAACTCAGCATCATAGCCTGGTAACGGCTAAGTAACAAGCCTATAAAACAACTCGCTATATCATAGCTCGCTACAACACGAGCTCCGGGTTCCTCGAGCTACCCCAAAGGGGATATTCCGATGCTACTTTAGCTCGCGAGCTAGGGAAACCAGCTCGCTCAAGCCCCTAAGCAGATAAGTCATTCCAGAGACCAATTCTAATAAGGGTAACCCTGAAGTATTCCTAAGCTCGCTACAAAATAGCTCGCAAGTGAGCAACGCGAACGTTTCTCAGGAAGCTTCTATCTGACAGATCGTACCAATCAGACTGCGTCACGTTCGTACCAATCAGACTACACCACGTCCCTTGACTGATGGCGCAGTCACTGTCCTTTCGACAGTATGCACCCACGTCTCTCAGCAGGCGGAGGCATGCCTGCCCTTTGGAGACATGTCACCCATCCGAGCAAGGAGTACGTTGCAACGGCCACCTGCGCAGCCCTGGCAGGTAACAGCTGTGGCAGGGGCCCAGTGGCGGTTATGCCCGATTTGACAAGAACGCCCCTATAAAAGCCCTTGAGGCAAAAGGGAAAAAGGACTCTGAGACTTTTGAATACTTCCGCACTCTCATACTCGAAAACTGAATTTATATTTGCTCGCAAGCTAATCTCTCGAGCATAATGAAAAAGCGCGACCTACACTCTTAGCTTTTGCACTCTTCTTTTCTCCTTCCCCAGCGTTCTGACTTAAGCATCGGAGTATTCCCACCAGGTATATCCTCGGGAATCCTTCTTTTCCATCTTCTCAGGTGTCGTCTGTTGCCAATAAGGAGCCAGTCAGCAACCGGCTAGGAGTGCCCGGATTGCACAGCATCAGATTCAAACACAACCAAGCCGAATAATTGGTTATTTAGGTTTGGCTCGCTGAAATTGTGTTAGGCTCGATCTTGAGCTCAAGCTTGATTCGAGCTAAAGGCTTGAGCTTGAGCTCGGCTTAGTTCAAAGCTTGCAAGTTCGATCTCGACTTGGCTCAAGTTCGATTGCAAGCCAAGTTTTTTTCTAAATAATAAAAAATATACATATAAAAATATTTTTTATTTTACATACAAAAAATTAAGAATTATAAAAAATATTTACTAATATACATAAAAAATAAAAATATTATTATGTAAAATAAAATTATTTATTATATATTTATATGTATATGTATATATGTATGTATGTATATAATAAAAAATTATTTATTTATTATACTAGGCTGGCGAGCCTCATGAGCCGAGCTTCACTTAGCTCGAGCTTAACTTGACTAGCAAACGAGTTTAGGCTCGAACTCGATTCAAAACCCAATTTAAATCAAACCGAGCCAAGCTCGAATAACTCATAAAAAGTTCAGCTCATAGCCACCCCTACCTTAAACCCCCAAGCCTTGTGGCCGGTCCCATCTCACAAATACCATTTCCACCATCAATCAAGGCTATATTTACAAATATTTTGATGTTACCACATTGGTGAATTGATATTTTTTAGATATATCTAAATTAAAATCCGATTAAGGCTGTTTTGACACAAAGCATTGGGTGAAGGCGGGTTTACCATTTAACCCAACCAACCCACTAAA